CGAATACGACGTTGGAACGAGGAACCACATGCGGGTTATTCCTCGGCACGGCTTTTCTTGTCAGTCTGACTGCAGCCCTGCTGAGCTCTATCCTCCTCAATGAAGTGAGAGAGAATGCGTTGCTTTGCCCGTTCTACGATGTCGTGGTCTTCGGGAAGTTGAAGTTGTGTACCGCTATGTCGTGCGTGACGGGTTTTCAGATAAACTTCCTTGGAATGCGATACATGGCCGAGTTCACCATCAAGTTCTGGTTCCTCTTTGATATCCCCTTTGTGTTTACGGCATTCGGTGAGCAAGCACAGACGACGCGCCCGCACCCGTACCGGTCCAGCACCATTCATTGACTCCCGATGGTTCATTCAGGTATTTTATGCATGCTCCTTAACGGCGTCGCAGTCATTGGCGGCATTTATGCCGACGAAGGGATGTACTGGTACTTTGTGGCCTTAGGCAGCGGCATCATCATCTTTTTTATCGTTGCGTTCATTTGCCTGCGCCGCCGGAGCAAAAAATTCATGAAGCAGTTCCGCGCGCGCGGCAACTCGGTGTATCCCAATGACGTAATAGCAACGTTGATTCCCAGAACTCCGTCATCGGAGAAGGGAAGTGCATGAGAAGAATGGATGATGACGAACTGGGACTGTGTAGGGTGGAGAGCAGGAGGATTCGTCATCATTCGATATGAATGCAATAACATTAATTCTATTTCAAAAGACGAAAGTCAATGGATGTGCATCCCCCACATCGCCAAGCCGCGGGCGGTGCCTCCAGGGGGGATCGGACCCGGTAGTCGAGAATGCGCCGAGGACGCTTTCGACAAAGGTGCGTTGCTGCACAACCACGCAGGGCCAGATCGGTGCAAGCGTGGCTCACGTGCCCCCGCGTTGACGCTCGCTATGCTCGAACTCCGCGTACACAGCACATGCTGCTGGGGCGATGCTCCAACATGCTCCATTTGGCAGGACCAGATTGCCAAGGGCGAACAGATCCGGGCTCTTCCGTGCACGCACGGGTTTCACTCGTCGGTGGGTGTGTGCCTGCTTTGGTTCTGGACACGGAGCGTTGACGGAGCGTCTGACTGCCCATCAACCCACATGACCACAACAGTGCGTGGACGTATGGCTGCTCACCCGATCCCCACAATGCCCGCTGTGCAAGACGGACACACTTGAGCGGATTCAAGCACGATGCCAGAATTTATAATACGGGATGGCACACAAAGTCTGATGTCTCGCTCGCACGCACTGTGCAAGCGGAACAATCTCGAGCGGATTGAAAAAACGTCACCAAAATGTATAATACGCAAT